TTTTAAAAACAAGTTTTCGTTAAAATAAATACATAAATAAATGTATTTATTAGCCAGGAATTTCTGTACCTTGTATATACGTGACACATTTAATGTTATGGGACTTCAGGAGTTCTGTAATAATTCAATAAAGCTGAAAAAATGAAAAAATAAAACACTGTATTTAAAGCTTCAGTGACCACATTTATGCACTTTCTTCCTTTTTGTGATTTTCTAGTCTAAGGTTAAAATTCTAACGCTTCCATTCTATACATGTGCCGTAACTATGGCATTCAATTAAATTGTTACTGGCCTTGAACTAGAATGAAAACTTCACCCAACAGTGTGTTCAGACCAAATGTGAAGTAAAGATAAATATAAACATTGTGGAAGCTACACATTTGTGTCAAACAAAGGCAAAGACATTAGTTACAAAAACTCTGGCACCAACTTTGCTTTATGCTCCATCACCAAAGTATCAGCTGCTGTTTCTCCTGATTACACTAATTAGCAGAAATGGGGGATAAGCTTAAAGTCACAACACAATTTGAGTCAGCCAGTGCTTTATGATTTGCCTTAGAGACCTAAATGAAGATAGACAGAGAGAACAGGACTTGAAGTAAAGTAAGAGAAGTGACTCTACTTCCTGGTGAGGTCTGAAATATGTTTCTGTGAACTGCATCTAGCTGACAGTGATATGTTGGACACTTTATTTGTGTGAGTAAAGTCAGGAAAACCTCTGCATCGTGTTTGGTCTGAACAAACAATAGGTGGCAGCTCTAGAACATAATTGACACATCAACTGTTGTCCCGCTAAAATTTGATTGATAGATTTTCTCATTTTTCATTCATTTTCATTTCATCTGTAAAAAATAATTGAAATTAAAAATAAATAATTTATTTAAACAAATTAATAAGCTAACGGGTAAAATTACTAAAAACAAATGAACAAAAAGGTCATATCTTTGATGTCTGTATCAACAAAATATCGAATTAAATATTATTTAACTTTCTGAGAATCTCTGAACAAAATACTCTACCGCTGTTAATCTACCACAGTGAAAAGAATATGCTATTAAGTCATTTTTGCATCTAATTTCTTTGCTTTGCATGATTTGCAGTCACTTCTTGATGTGCAGCTACTGATTTGAGTTAATTCCACACAACCAACAGAGCAGCAAACACACAAAACCAAAAGCCCACACTGTTGAGAACCAAGACTACATATTTTTAGGATTCATAAAGTTCACAACAGTAAGATTACACAGATCAGTGCTTAGTGTTCTCACCCTGGTCATTTCAGACTGTGCACAGAAGAATGGTTTGCACAGGGGAATTAAACAAATTAAGTGAAGTGGAGCAGGAACAGGGCAGTGTGATAAGGTTTAACAAGATACAAGTTTCTCCACACGCTTCATTTCAAATTGTGCCCACCCAGCCTTGACCTAGTTGACTCACCCAGGAGATACGATAGCTTACCTTACCCAGAATTTTCCGACCATTCATGGCTGCGATTGTGGCAGTGGCATGTCTATGCTCATAAAACTCCACAAAGCAGTACGGATCGTGACCTGCTGTCTGGGTTGGAGAGGAAACACATAAGTTATGTTACTGTGAGCAATATGAAAGCTTGAATAATTATGGTGACATCATTGTTAAGCATTAAATTGAGAGGATGCAACACCAATGCAAAATGGAGAAAAAAAAAAGGATGAACATTACAAGAGTCAAGCAAGTAGCTAAACCAGATTGCAAGGGCTGAAAAGAAAATGAGAAGAAAAGGAGTTACGGAAAAATAAATAAATAAATAAAAAACAAACTCACATCTACTATCATTTTGCAGCTTTTGCAGGGTCCGATTTGGCCAAACAACTCCAAGATGAGTGCCTCGGTCACATCCCGGGACAGATTTCCCACATACCTAGATGCACAAAAACAAACAACAGACGGGAGACAGTCAGTGCTGGCTAGTTTTTCAAAGTAGCCATCGATGGCTGGTGCAGATGCTCTAACAGGGCAACAGGGTTTCCCTTCTCTAAAAGTTTACCATTGTTAAAAAATTAGCCCAGAGAAACATCTTTCCTAATCCATTTTTATCCTAACTCCAGAGAATGTTTGAAGCATCACGTCAGGACAGTGTAAGAAGTTGTTGTTTCCCATTTTTAGCACATTCATATCAGCCTCACCCTCATTACAGGAAATACTTTGTTTCGTTTTAGATAAGGGAGGCTTCTGGGCAGACTGTGCAGGAGGCCAGACACATCATAACAACTTGATAGATGTGAATTCGCTGGACCATTACATGTGTAATTCTTAGACCAGAAAACCTCAGCAAATCACAACCACATACCACGCATTCATCCAATCCAACTGTATAGGACATATGCATTATCGTATACCCCTCCTTTGGGTACGGTCTAGAAAATTTCAGACAGGTGGAGGTGATTGCTTTCTTGTAATTTCTTGGAAAAGATAAAAATAACAAGGCGGTACATGTTTCCATAAGATGGCAAAGCAGCTGACATGATCATGTTTCAATAAAATACAATCACTGATTATATTCTGTGTTGGGATAAATATTCAGTTAAAATATTGCCACAAGCTAAAATGACAAGTAATTGTTATGAAATTAAATTTCTGTACTATGAAAGCATTCCATATCAAATACACTTCAAAATACTGGTGTTTTATTGGTATGATATCTTGGATTAACGCTGTAGCCCAACAAGGATCAATTTAAAGCTTTTTACACACTGGAAGATGGTTTAATCTCAAAAAATATATCATACTTACTGAGCTGTTAAAAGGGTTTGAATTTCAAGAAAAAATATTTGAAATCTTAATCGATGTCTTGCTGTTTTTTAAAACATATTTTATTTATTTACAAATAAAACATATTTAAAACATATTTTACTTAATTACTTAATATTTTACTAATTAAGATGACGACTTACAGATTAAAACAATAAAAAAAACAAAAACACAGAAAATAAACAAAACAATATCAGCACCAGACACCACTACTAGTCCACTTGTAAGGCTCCATTAAATGCAAATCTGAACGCTATTTATGCTTAATGATTCTGTAATTATAGCATTTAAATGTCAGCCAAAGAGTAGGGAGAGGTTTAAATAAAGAAATATCAACCATGTCTTTTAAATAGAACTGTTTTAAATAGAATTAATCTTCCCCCAGGTAATAAAAACCCGTTTTCACAATCAAATCAACATTGGCTGACACCATGTTATCACTTAAAGCATCAAACGCATATACATATATGTAGTTTCCTGGCCTATACAATGGTGACTCTATCAGGGTGATGGCACGTCGAACTCGATTGAAAAGCCAGCTAGTTTAATGTCCTTCTGCTTAGTGCAACACTTAACAGCGCCATAGATAAGTCTCTGGTACATTTAGCGAGTCTCTCCAAGTTACTACTTAAAGTGTCGTTTACTAAGCATGCCAACAGTTATTTATTTTAGAAACAATTCAACTTTCACGCCGTCTTATTCTCAGCAAGAAACGTGAACGGACGCGTTAATTTGAGATTTTTCTGGAACTAGCTAGCAGGCTAGCATTAACCAATGTGTCGACTATACGAAAGATAGACCGTTACCATGTGTTTAGATGTTATAAACGCGTTGTTATGCTACGTTTAACAAAAGCTTACACAAGACATTCAACTGTTATTATATAGACGGGAGCCTCCAATGTGCCTGTCCTAAAGAAACAACCGCTTCGAGACCGGAGTCAGCCCTGGAAACTGCCGCTGAGCATTACGTGACGAACACAAGCGTTTAGCTAACAATAAAGGCATACACTTACAGGGTTTTGGGCTGGTCATCGTCCATTCTGTTTCAGTTGCTGGCCGAAAACAAGTCGCAACCCCGAGAGCAAATCCACGACTGTCGCGGGCAGCTGCCGGTGACACTGTCGAGTAATTTTATTGCGAACTGGTTTATCGCCGTTGTTAGCTCAAGAGTGAACAATGGGCAGCCGACAAAGATGGCGGAGCAACTGGAGGCCGACGCGAGTCCCGCATGCGCAGTAGTTCAGCCTAAAGGCAACTTCTAGACAGGCTACAAAATAACCACAAGTGCAAATTAGATGAGAAAACGCGCATAATTATTACACGAAAACATGTAAAAGCACGTGTAAATGTTTTTTTTTCTTCCATAATATATACATTACAAGTAGATCTCTAATCAATAAAAGATGTAAAAACCTGTGCGACTTTTAATAACTTCATTCAATCCCGCTGTTTTTTATATTCTCTTTTGTGTAAAGTAACTACACTGCACTTTGGGAAACGTGTATCTGAGAATGTATATTTAAGTTGTGGATTTCTCCTCTTTTCTACATTTGAGAGGCAAATGTTAGGACATGCAATATATTACAATTTAAATTATGTATACACAGATGGATAAAGCTGATGAGCCATACTACAAACAAATGGGAAGAAGTTTAAGCTAGGTTAAGAAAACAGGTGACAATCAGTGAGCAGCAGAGGGGTATAGAGGGTGGCAGAGGGTGGTGCAGGACATGCGAGGACAATGAAACAGTGGTGAGGTGTGCAGCATGAATGACAGATGGGTTTCCAGTGGGAAGGGAAGAGTTACATCAGGGCTCGCCTCTGACTCCCCTCTTGTTTGCAGTGGTGATGGACAAGTTCACAGATGGGGTTTGGTAGGACTTGGCACGGACTATGATGTTTGCAGAGGACACTGAACTGTAGTGAGAGTAGAGAGCATGTGGAAGATAACCTAGAGAGGTGGAGGTATGCCCTGGAGAGAAAAGTAATGAATAAAGAGAAGAACAGCCAGACTGCTTTGAGCTGATTGGAAGATAGCAGTAAACCAAATAACCACCGAGTACAAGCAAGGTATGCAGAAGAGCATCTCTGAATTCACAACATGTTGAACCCTGAAGCACATGGGATATCTGCTGCGACATTCAGATAGTAGGACCAGAATTTGGTGTAAACAAAAGAAAAATTCTACACATATTCCTAAAATGAGATTTGTTTTCCATTTTATTGATAGTTTGTGGCATTGAAAAACTGCAATACTTAAACAGCTTTTTGTAACATCCAACAAACATTATTGGCAAGCCTCCAAACACCATTTATAAAGCTATACATTTATACAGTATAGTGCAAGTTTCAGTTGTCACTCTTCTTACCAGTGTGTTATTTGTCTTTGGTAGGTTTTGTGTTGATTTCTGTTTATTTTATTATTTTTTGTGGAAATTGAAATTTTGCTTATTAAAAATATCAGTGGAATCAGCCCTTCCACATGTGACCCGCTGTATAGCCACGTGAATCCAATCACAACAGAACCACCACATGTTTCTAAAAAATTCAAGCTATTGTGATGTAAACAAAGTAAGAAACCTAATTTATTCTTAACTCTGATGCTTCAAGTACAACATTTATTTGTCAGTAATTTACTTACAATTAATGACAAATACATAAATTATATTTATCAGCATATACAAGTGTTTTTACAAAAAAACAAAAAGGAAAAAAGTCCCCTTATGTCTCATCGTTTCCATCCCTGTACTCTGATCGCACAGTCCGACACAGTGCAAACAGCAGGAGAAGCAGAGCTGACAGGGCCTGTCCTCTCTGCTCTGACGTGCCCTCATCTGGGGCAGATGCTGTGGTCACTGAGGAGTTTCTCCATCCTCTTTATCTTGCGCTTGTTCTTTGGCATGGGCTTGTCATACATGCCGTTCTTCAGCAGATGTTCCTTGCTATGATGGATCTGAGCGCCGTGCTGAAGCTGGAAGGAGCAGAGTGCTTTCAGGGGCTTGAGCAGAACCTGCACACGCACAGATGGGAATGGAAGGAGAGCGCGATAAAGAACACCAGTCTCTGTGTTTTGACATGATTCATGATAATGAACCTACAAAGAATTACTGCCCAGCTTCTCACGCACTCTTATCTCCAAGCTTCATTTTACCATCCTTTTACCCTTTTCATTTAGCCTACCCACTCATCACCCTTGTTTTAAGAAGGCAGCAGCAAAAAACTCATTTTATTCTAAAGAGCGGAAATGTCCATTTAGCAACGATCTGCTGAACACAGTCAACCTTTTAGCATTAAAATCTAGATATTTATCTCAGCAGTTGGTAGAGACTAACACAGAGTTAAAAGTAATGCAAATATTAGATGTAAAAATTATTACAATTCTGTATACTACAGATTTTAAATATTTATTATACTACTATATAACTGTTTTGGTATTTTACCTCTTGGATCTCATCATTCCGCTCCAGGATCGACAGAGCGACAGCGGCACATTCCAGAGTAGACAGACAGATGTTGGAAGGTTGTGTGCGGATCACGTATTGACTTGATAAAGTCCTATTGAGCTGCACCTGGTAAACCAAAGTAGAAGTGATCAGTAATCACAATGTTGATGTATGAAAAGCAATGAATTTTATGAAAGCTGTAATTCTTAAGGAATGCACAACACTGGCAGTTTTTCATTGAGCGCTTTCAGCGTTCATCTCTGACAGGTGTGAAGTTTCAAAGTTATGGTTTGTCCATAAACACGTGATCAGAGCTGGAACATCTTCTAATGTTGGTTGTCAACATTACACACATTCAACTTAGAGGCGGACTTACACAGAATTTATGACACAGATTTATCTGATATCAGATATATGAGCTAATTTTTCCCCCCTTTCAGACTTCTGTGTTTCATTTACTTGTTTACGTTTTCCCTCACTCTGCCTGGATCAACTGATTTGTGTGTTTGTGTCGTTGTATTGACTAATCACGTTTGTGCACACCTGCATGTTATAGTTCTGTGTCAGTTGGACACACAAATCCAAATTTTCCACCCAATTCAGGCTTTTAGACCCTAGAAAGAAAAAAGGCTTAGCAACTGAGAGAACAGAGTTTATATTCTCTACAACGTCCTTTAATACGCGCACCTGTTTGGGCAGGTGGAAAAGGCTGTTTTTCAGGAACATGTTTTTGGCTTGGCTCCAGGTGCCGTCTATGATGATGACATTATATTTCGCAGTGCCCACTTCTTGGTATTGCACCAACTCCTCAAGGTTCTCCGATTTAGGTCCTGGGTACAGAATCAGCGTTCTGCTGTCCCGACACACCGCAGCCAGCTCCGGGTGCCTGCACAGAAAATAAATGAAGGCAGAAAATAAAAATTTAAATATAACACATATTTAGCTACGCTCAATTAACGCATACTTACTTTTCCTCATTAAATCTCCTTCCAACTATGACATTGCATTTTCCTTGTGGCAAGCAAGCAGCAAGTAGAGGAACTGTGCGGAGTACTCGGCTCTCCTGCAAGAGATCGAAACCTTTAGTCTCTCATGTTAACCTTTTATAAAATGTCTGTTTATTACTGTCATGAAAGCCGCGCATTATAGAGTCCACTGTCAGGAGCAAGACGGTAATCTGATTCCAAAGCATTCAAACACACCCGATGGCGATGTCAGGGTGATACACTGAGAAATGAGACACTGATGTTCTCCTTATTCATCCACTAACTCTCAACACAATATCAGTCTTGGTCTGGTGCAGATGTACATGTATGCATCTTTCTGGATATGGGTCAATATCAAAACTTGCCTTTAATGGAAATAAGTCAGCAAAACATGCGTGGAAATGGTGCGATGTAGAAATTGTTCTTTCAGATAGTTTGATTAATAAAGTAAGCTATGGTTGTATCAGCTGATACTGGCATCAATGTATATGTTTGCCATCATTATTATTATTTATTTTACAGGAAACAGTTTTTCCAGCAGAGTAGACATCTGTACCATCATGCAGAATTTTAGATTAGCGAGGTAACTTAACTGGGAATTTTCCGTTTTAGTGTAAAGTACACCTCATGTCACTGTTTGTTTTGAGATCAGCTACTACACATACTATGTATAATCTGTAAATTATTTGTGTTATAAAAACCTATATAGATGCTGATAATCCTGGCAGGTAGTTTAGTCAGTAAGTTTCATCCAGCTTGATCAATACCTCCAGGAGGAGATAGGGAACATTCATAACAATCATTGTAGTAAGATTATTATAGTCCATAATGTTTGTCTCTACAATTAATACTTTTGGGTGTTTATTTTACTTAAATATTCATCAGCATTTTTAAATCAAATCAATCTTCAACAGCTACAGTCATCTTAGTGTAAAATTCCCTCTCTCTTTGTTACTTTATCAGCTTTTCTGCTGATTCAAGTTAAAGCCATGTCCTATAATAGTTTATTACTTATATCCTATTTTTGTCAGCCAGGTCTCAAAGTGAAACTCATGCAAGCTCAATTTGCTAGGCAAAAAATAACCCATAGAGGCTCAAATCAATGTGCAATACAAGCATATAACAATACAGCTAACACTGCTAACACTACCACACAACATAAGGTTTAATCTAACAGATTTTAATAAACAATAACAGTGACTTTTGGGGGCTTTTGAAAAACTTTTAATAACATAAATGTATTTTTGAAGCTTCACAAACGCTACATTTAAACAGATCAAGGACTCTGGGTCTTAAAACATGACTTTTGACTCACCTCTGCAGGATGCTGCACTACGTACAGACATGTGGAGACCTCCAGAGGTTGTGGTGGAAGAAAAGGACATAGACACACCTTCTGAGGGCGACTACATGGGAGGAAAGTTGAAGACGTGAGGCTGTGTTTTCCCAGTTACTTCCCAGCCTATAGCCCCCATCTGTGTGTGTTTCAGCTGGTCTTGAGCTTTCTGTAACGACACGGATCTGTTCCCTCATTAAAGCATGCCAGCTACGCGAGGAGACGGGAACATTCATACGCCGCCTGGATCAACCAACTCGGCTAACTACTAGCATGAGCTGCCCTTTAATTCAACTCACCGGCAACGGAAACATGTCGGTCTTCTCTCGCCAGCCTCTACCGGAAGGGCAGCCAGATCCCCAAAAGCGTCAACCAACCCGTCCTCCATCGAGGAGCCGTCGCACATTTCTGGGGCGTTTTGTATCTCTTGAGTGACGGCGGGACACAGACTGGGAGCGCAGTCCATTGTGGAGTTAGCAACAAGCTAACCTGCGCGAGTACCCAAACACTGCGCCGTCTTCTGGTGTAGAAGTAGACCGACTAGAGAGAGAAGGCACACGGCGGCGTAATTAAAAGTGTTTTCGTAGAGTTCACAGTGCGTACGAGAGTAAGGCTTACGATTTTGGATACATACCTCGCCTCTACAATGGATGAAAACAAATGAGTACACAATGCACATAACTGCTGGTGGGAAATAAAGATTCTCAGTAGGAAATGTTTATTACAGGAGAGTCCGAGGCTGAATTCGTTTATACAAAGTGTTTCTCTTCTTTTTCTTTTCCTCCCATCTCCTTTGGTATGCGTCTATCACGTAGTATGTTATATACATTTAGAATTGGATGGCTAAAATAGCTTGTTTCATAATCATAACAGAGACCTTTTCTGGCTACTCTTACCTCGTTAGTAAGGTAAGAGTAATGATCTATGGGGCGACTTCACTTGTTGCTACTGCAAGGTTAACCTGTAAACGGACTAAAACTAGATTGATATTATTAACCAGTATTAGCCATTATCACAGGTATATATGATATTAGCCTAGATGATTTCCCGTATATGCTAACAGAAATTAACACAGAACTTTTTGACATCCGGGGTCTCAATACAGATACAGATACTAAAATTAAGACTAGTTCCTTATTTTGTCACATCTATTTATTTATTTATTTTTTTGTCATATCCAAGATAAGTGGTCCAAAGTGAGCTTCACAATAAGCTGTTAACTATTTAGTTTGGAAGCTGTGTGTGACTAAACAATAACCCTATCATTTCCCCCTTTCTCATAAGATTCAAATATACTCTCAATATGTGTATGTATGCATATAATCCAGACTGCTTTCATGCATCATTGGTAAAAACGCCAATCATGTCAGAAACAGAATACTTTTATAATCTCTAAGGACAATATATATATATACATACTGGTACATAAATCGGTATATATTCAGTTTGCCAACATATGCAACAAAGAAAAATAATATATTATTGTTTGAAGAGCTAAAAAAAAAATAGCAGCTATTTAAAATTTCATTGTCGAAATTGTGTTTCATTACAATTTTTGCTGTCCTTCTCAGGATGATTACAGATGTTCATAATCAGTTCATAGGCATAAATATAACAGCAATCATTTTGTTATACTCGTCGTTGTTTTGTTTTGTTTTTCATTTGCAGTCAGTTAGCTGTTTGCTGTTCAAAAACTCAAGTTACCAACATGCACTGACACATCCGTTCTATTTATTGTATTTCTGCGACACAGTTGCTTGTAAGTTGTTAGTACGTCATTAACTCAGGGCTGCCACCTGTCGGTGTGGAGGAAAAGGGTTATTTTAAAAAGTACGCTGGGTGTCGCCAAAGGCTATTTAATGTAAAAGTAAGGCCGCTTTAATATACTTGAAAACACAGCTTTTGCCCCACGGAAGCAAAAATAGTTATGTACACTTAGTTGCGTATGCATTTTATTCACACATCGTTTGAAAATGGATATCTGTGAGTTTGTTTATAGTTTGACTTTGAAGGTCAGTCGACACAGGGTCACAGCTGAGGCTTCAGATGGCACCGTTGGATTCAGGGCATAAAGCAACTACTGTACAGTGTATCTGCAAGCAATGCAAACATGCAGAATACTGTACCCCACAGTGCAAAAATTAAAAAAAAACAACCCCAAAAAGTTTCTCTATGTGCACGCATTGGGGAATATAAAGCAGACTAAAACGAGCTACGTTTGGTTAAGTTGGAGATATCTTTTCGACGATGCAGGAGAAATATACGTAACCTTTATAAATGCCTTTGAACATTTTTATGATAATTTTTTTAAAAAGCATTTGCAAAATTTTATAACATTTGATGAAGATCTTTAATTACAGGTTATTTTGACGGGGTGCAAAACATCACACCCCATTTGGCTTAGTGAAAGATGCACATTGTCAAGAAGTTTCACGTTCCAAGCACATCCGTGATTAAACAAAGATTTGCAGGGTGGATAATTTGTCAGGAATAACCACAGGTAAATAGGCTCATCTGCACGGATCACAGACTGTCTTGGATGTTTACAAGCGGTTGTGTGGAACACAGGCTCCCAGTTTAGATAAGGTGTCGAGTTAATGGCCAGAAGGGCTTATTTATAGCTGAAGATGCACCCTGACACCGTACAAACACCGACACATGCACGCTCATCCTTTTTATTTGCACATGTGAACCACTCTCATCAATCATGCTATGACTCATGCGCTATTGGCTGAAAGTCTGGCTTCACCTGCAGAAACAAAGGATATATGATCAATCTGAAGGCAAAGGTTTTAGATAAGACTTTGATTATATATGCAAATCTGAGCTTTAAGAATTTGTCTTAGTTTAATGCACTTTACATTTACTGACATTTTAAGCCCAAATATGGATATTGATCTGTTACAGCACTTAATACCAAGTTTATTGAAAAAGACTGTAGCGCACTAAAGTATTATACACTGTCCTTTGTTTTTGGCTTGCTCAGTGGGAAAAACTGTCGAACTATCTTCTTGTTTCTCAGCATTATTCTCTGTTGGATCTGTTTCTGATGACTTAACATCTGTCTCTAGTTCAGTTTGTTTTGTAACTGTTTCGGTCTGGCTTCTTTCTCCTTCTTCTGGTTTGGAGTTTTCTCCTTCAGTTGGCTTTCCATCTCTCTCATCTCTGGTGGTCACTTCATTCCCATCCTGTACAGTTTCAGCTTCTGTTTTGGCCACAGCCAACGCATTCTCTTCTCCATCTCCGTCGCCTTCATCAGCAGTCTCTGCCGGCGATGCCGTCTCTTTCTCCTCCTCTCTTTGCTCTTTCCCTCCAGCCTCTTCGTTTTCCTGCACAATGACGTCAATTGGAGTCAGAGGCGTTAGATCTAGACACGTCTTAGGAGGGGATGCTACTTTTCTCCTAGGAGGAGCGACTGGCTTGTCTATTTCTGAATCTTTTTTCCACAAATCCCGAACACAGACGTTGCTCTCTTCCAAGGCTGCGGGATGATCATCTATACTTGTCCAGTCTGCTTCCTCTGAGGGAAACTCAAAGCAAGAGATGCTAAGTTCATCGACTGGGATTTCTGTTGGTTTTTCAACTGTTATAGACACACTCCTTACTGTCTTGGATTTACTCTTTTTTGCTGTTTGTGTGTCGTCTTCTTCCAGAAGTCGAGGGAAAGGCTCTATGTCGCACGGAGAAGAATTGGCGCTGGACCTGAAGAAGTCTGTAATATCCTCCTCTGAGTTAGGCACCTCGCCTTTTTCAGGTTTGGTCACAAAAACACCAAGATCATACAAATCTCCAGACATTATCCGAGGTCCTTCCTTTGGGCATTTTTCTTTATCTGTTGGTTCCCCTTCCACAACAGGAGTCTCATCTATCAGGACATATTTCTCTAAATATCCCCTGGCCTCTCGGTCTGAATGCCTGCTGTGGAAGGACTTCTCCGAGGTCACACTTTCAGTGTCTTCTTCTTTTTTCCGGCTGCCGAGTGCTTCCTCGTAAAGGTCTGTATAAAGAAAGGCCATGGCTTTGGGTTCCTCCAGCAAAATGGGATCAATAATTTTCGGGGGCCCTTCGGGTAGAAAGATTGGTGTGAGGACATCTTCTTGGCTTCCAAACAAATTCGAACCACTCTGTTTTGAGGGAAGCCTAGATAATGCACTTTCTGCTGCTCCACCTCCATCTGTTGCCCCTGGACTTTTCAGAAAGTATTCGTCTGTACCGCCATAAAAGACTTCATCTAAAAGCTCATTAGCAAGTTCCACCAGACTGATTGTGTCTGACTTGTCAACATCTGCACTTTTGGTGCTGGTGGTTTCTTTAGCCTGTGCATGTTTCTCAGTGTACTGACTCTCAGTAGCAGTCTTTGCCTCTAGTTCCACCTGTCCTTCTGCAGCCACAGCAGGACCTCCTGGAGCTTGAGTATCAATCAGGGCGAATGCCTCAAAGTAGTCCACATTTCCTGCTGCTGCTCTGCTTTGCATTCTGGCCACCGGAGCTCCCGGTGGATCCATGGAATCTAGATCCACAGGAGGGCGGGGGCTGGCTTGGTAATCTATTGTTGGGCCCGTTTCTACTGAGATCAGCGGCTCATTTTCATGGATCTCCTCACTAGCTTTAGGAACAAGACTTTCCTCCAGGTATGAAAGATTGTCCACCATTTCTTTGCTGACTTCTTCATCCACCGTGGCCAGTTTTTGGGGAACAACAATGTTGAGGATTTCAGAGCCTTCTGACACTAAGCTGAACAGCTGCTGCTCTTTGTCTTCCTGAGGATCAGTTGTTTCCTCTTGGTCTCCTTCTCTGTCACTTTTCAAATTTGGTTGAGAGACTTCCACCAACTCTGGCCGCCCTGAGATGTTCTCAGAGCTTTCTGCCAGGACTTCTCGCTTTCTATCTGCTTTGCTTTTCGGCCCACTTGCCCTCTCCTTGGTTGTCTTCCTTCTTGAGATAAGCTCCTCATCCATGACAAAAATGATTTTGCCTGCTGGATGAGACCCAGGTGTTGCAGGCTGTATTGCAACCGCAGAGCTGAGATCCACAGAGGGGAGTCCAGCTTCAGACATCCATGGTGTGGTGCAGCGACTGGGGGTCGTCTCCCATGCGATTCCGCTGTCCTCCCCTTGCATAGTTACCATGGAGAAGGAGGAGTCCATCATTAGGCACTGCATCTTAGGCCGGACGTTATCATCGTGGACAACCTCGCGTAAGCTGAAGGCACAGTAACGCACAAATATTGGAAGGTTAAGGGAAAACTATACAAAATATGTCCTAATAACTTCTAAGTTGTGCAGGTGTTCTTTTGCTTTAATACTTTTTGCACTGCACCTAAAGCGAGAGAAAGAGTCTCAACTTATATTCACCAAAGTCTGAACTGCATAAAGCATCACATCTATCAAACTTTGAAGATGCTTGTTGTGTTCCATGAGCATTTTTACGTCACACAAGTGTCATTAAGTAGGAAGAAAGAAAGAAATTTCACCCTGCAGAACTTCCCATTCTGCTTGACCAATGCAAACATACGGACGTGTGGCATTTC